AGAGGAGAGAGAGAGAGAGAGAGAGAGAGAGAGAGAGAGAGAGAGAGAGAGAGAGAGAGAGAGAGAGAGAGAGAGAGAGAAGAGAGAGAGAGAGAGGGAGAGAGGGAGAGAGAGAGAGAGAGAGAGAGAGAGAGAGAGAGAGAGAGAGGGGGAGAGAGAAAGAGAGAGGGAGAGATAAAGAGAAAGTGAAGAGAGAGAGAGAGAGAGAGAGAGAGAGAAGAGAGAGCGAGAGAGAGAGAGAGAGAGTGGGAGAGAAAGAAAGGGCAGAGGGAGAGAGAGAGGAGAGAGAGAGAGAGAGAGAGAGAGAGTCGCCATTAGAAATGGCTAAGAGAGTGGCCCACGGGAGTCCCACGGCTGGTTGTAGTAGTAGTAGTTGTAGTATTTTGAGTAGAAGGGGTCGTAGTAGTAAGTCTTTATGGTAGTCGTAGTAGTCGTAGTGGTTAGTGGCAGTTGTGAGGGTGGTTGTCGTTCTAGTGGGGGTAATGCGTAGTAGTCGTCGTAGTAGTAGAAGAGGTAGTAGTAGCAGTAATCGTAGAGGTCGCAGTCGTAGTAGTAGTAGTAGTAGTAGTAGTAGTAGTAGTAGTAGTAATTGTTAAAGTAGTGGTAGTTGTAGTAATAGTTGTAGCAGTAGGAATAATGTTTGTAGTGGTAGTTGTCGTCTCAGTAGTAGTACGACTCTTTGTAGACGTAGACATAAAAGAAATCGTATTCGTAGTAGTAGTAGTGGTAGTAGTAGTCGTAGTAGTGGTAGTGGTAGCTGTCGCAGCAGAAGCAGTAGAAGCAGTAGTCGTCGCAGTCGTATGTGTAGTCGTCGTAGTAGTCGTAGTAGTGGTAGCAATAGCAGTAGTAGCAGTAGTAGTAGTAGTAGTAGTAGTAGTAGTAGTAGTGGTAGTGGTAGTAGTAGTAGCAGTAGCAGTAGCAGTAGTGGTAGTAGTAGTAGTAGTCGTCGTAGTAGTAGTAGTACTAGTAGTACTAGTAGTAGTAGTAGTAGTAGTAGTAGTAGTAGTAGTTGTTGTAGTTGTAGTAGTCGTAGTGCTCGTAGTAGTCGTAGTAGTAGTAGTAGTAGTAGTAGTAGTCGTAGTAGTCGTCGTAGTAGTAGTAGTAGTAGTAGTCGTAGTCGTAGTAGTAGTAGTAGTAGTAGTAGTAGTAGTAGTAGTTGTAGTAGTAGTAGTAGTGTAGTAGGAGTAGTAGTCGGGTTGCACCTCACCTTCGTGTTGCGCCAATCGCCACCGTTGCGTGCGCTTCTTTTGCAAAGTGCCTACTCTGATTCCTATAGTGGGAATTGCGAAAACCGTAGTTTCAATCTGGCCTTCGTGTTTTTCGCGCCAACGTCTACCTTCGTGTGCTATTCGTTGTATAGGCTGTATGTTAGATTCGCAGTATAAGATGAAGAAACAAAAAGGCGCGTTCAAACACCTGTCCTTCGTGTCGCCGTCATTTTCGGAGCAGTCGTTACCACCAGCCACTGAAAAGCCATGTGTCTCCCCAGCGTCGACTTCTTTGTCTCCGGGGCCCGCGCAGGTTTGTCTCGCGCCCTTGCCGCGGAGTCTGAAATGCATGGGGGGGCACTTGCACGGGGGCCCGCGGCATGGATTTATCTTCAGACTAACAGTGCGATTATTTCACAATGTTTTTTCCCATTCAAAAGTAGGACTCCCACGCAGCGCGTTGCCAACCGGTTCCCCGCGCAGCGCGTTGTCAAATTGCTTCCTGCACCGTGGGTTCCCACTTGGGCTCTCATGCGATGTGGCATACATATAAATAAACACTATAATAATAATAATGATTTTTTATACATAAAAACGCGCATCCTATACAACGGGTGTCCAACCATATTATTTCACGATGGGTTTCCAATCGGATTCCTATACAATGGGCTTCCACCGCGCAGTGGGTTACCCCAAGGAATCCTATACAGTGGAGTGCCGAACGTATTCCCACGCAATGAGCCCCCAATAGGTTCGCGCGCAATGAGCTTCAACTTGGATTCCTATACAACTGGCTTCCACTACGAATCCGACACAATGGGCCCCCAGGAGCACTCCTTTACGATGGTGCCCCGCCAGGATTCTGACACGAGGGACCCCGAAGAAGGATTCTTACACGAGGGCTTCCCAGTGATTTTCCCGCGCGAAGGGTCCCCGACAGGGTTCCACAGTTGGCTGCCAATATGTCGGATTCCCATGCAATGGGGGTCCGATTGGATTCCAATGCGCATGGTTTCCAGATGGATTATTGAACAATGTGGGTTTCTAGTCGGACTCTTGCGCGCCGAGTTCCTAGTGTGGCTTCTATACCATGGCTCTCCGATCAAATCCTACGCAGCGATGGGTTTCCGCAGATATTCTTACACGCGGAGCATTCAGAACGAGTCCGGCGCGTTGGATTTCCAATCGGATTGTAGGACATTGGGTCTCCAATCGGATACGCGCGAAACCAGTGTCTCATCGGATTCGGAGCCCCGCGCGATGCGTTCCAAACAGGCTTTCTGGACGAAGGGCTTCCGACCTGGAAACCTACGCGACGGGTGTCCAATGGGGTTCCTGCGCAGCGGATCTCCAGTAGGATTGCTGCGCGGGGAATGCCGCAGCGGGCCCAGTAATCTAGGCCCCCGACAGGGTTCTGACACAATGGGTCCCCCATCTGATTTCTGCGCGGAGGAGTTTCCAACGCGGTTCCTGCGCGATGGAATCAGTGGGGCCTTCGGTGGAGCTCCTCGCGGGCCGCGCGACGCGCGAGGGGTGGGGCGAAGGCAATGCAGCGGCGGCGCGCGGGGCCTGCGTCGGGGCCTTATTGGGAGATGCGAAGCTTGTGAGAGGGCGAGAAAACCATAAACGATGATTGTCTTGTGGTTTTTTGACGGGATTCTCAGCGTTGCGTTCTTCGTCGCGCGGCGGCCCAGACTGCGCGGCGCGCCCGCTCTTGAACGCGCGGCAAGGAAGCCGCACAAGCGCGCAGGTTGGACTCGCGCCCCCGCCGCGCAGCATCAAATTCAAAAGAGGGCACCTAAACGAGTTGGGGGAAGGTGGGCAGGAGAGCCACTCCCCCACGCCCCTCTGGACTTGGGGAAAAGCGGTCAGAATCAGGGGCCGCGCGCCCAGGCCGAGCCGAAGAAGGGTACATCCGCCCTCCTCAGCGGCTGGGCTCAGCGCCCCAGCCGCGCCCGGGCGGCCGGCCTGGCCCCGGCCGACGAAGAGGCCGAAGGCCAGGCCGAACCCGCGCCGCGGGCGCTGCCTGACGCCCGCGGGCGCGGGCGCGCGCGGCGCCCGCCCAAGGGCCGATTCGGGTTTTTTCTGAAGAGAAAGCCCGGCCTCTCTCCCGTCCTCCGAGGCATTTATTGGCCCTTGGTCCTCTTTTTCTCCTCGAGGTCGGGTTCCCGGGGCTGCCGTCTGAGTGCCCGCGCGGCCCTCGCGGGCAGCTGCGGCGCGTTCCGCGCCCCCGGCGCACGCGAGACGCTGTTCGGAGCGAGAAGCGCAGAAACGCAGGAGGTGGAGGAGGAGGAGGAAGAGGAAGAGGAAGAGCAAGAGGAGGAGGAGGAAGAAGAGGAGGAGGAGGAGGAGGAGGAGGAGGAGGAGAGGAAAGAAGAGGAGAGGAGAGGGGAGAAGAGGGGGGGGAGGCGAGAGAGAAAGAAAGCGAGATAGAGAAAGGGAAAGAGAGAGAGAGAGAGAGAGAAAGAGAGAGAGAAAAACAAACAAAATAATAAGAGAGAAGGAAGGAGAAGGAGGCGGGAGGGAGGGACGCCGAGTGGAGGGGGAGGAGGCCGAGGGGGAGGAGGAGGAGGTGAAGAGGTGGCGGAGGAGGAGGAGGAGAAACAGGAGGAGGAAGAGGCCCAGGACTGAGCCTTGCCGTGTTCGCTGAACTCGGTGGGGGGCGCGACTCCCGTGTAGAGGGCCAGGTGCAGCGCTGCGCACCCCCGGACCGCTGGGGAGGCCGCGAACACGGAAGAGTGCCGCACGTGGAGGAAGTACACACCCGACCTCCTTATCTCTAAGACGATCATGTCTCTCGTCGGTCATGCCAGCATTGCTGTTTCCATCCGCAAATTACGATTGTCACGCGTTCACCTCATGTCTCCCAGCCGCAGTACCAACATACCTGATTTCACCTAGTACTGACAGACGATGATGTTTCAGCGGGCGTGCAACTAATGCGATTGACCCTTGTTGCGTCACAAGGGATTTGGTCACTAGGGACTTTTGCTCCATGCAGTCGATTGAAGCGTGTGGTCGGCGGCGGGGGATCCATCCATATCCACCGCGTCTTGATGTCCCCGAAGATTGATCCCCAGGCGGTGGTTATAGACTTATGGACAAAGTCCGCCTCGAATATGGGGGCCAGCATTCGACTACGCCTCCACACCGGTCCTCAAATCGACACGCCCCCAGAAGGCCCGTGCCGCCGATGCGGGAGAGCAGCCAGCGGAGGCGGCGCTGGCTGTGAGTGACGCCTCGGTCGTGCGAGGTGCCGCAGGTGCGTCAGCAGCACGAGCACGGGCACCGACCTCAGCCTACGTTCCGATTCGATGCGGCCCAATTCGCTCGTTGGGGCCGCGATTCCGATTTGGTTTGTTTCGCTCCGGTCCCCCAGTTTCGGCCAGAGCCAACAGGAGCCAGGCGCGGCAATCGTATAATACATCGATCCGGTTCGGGACGATTCGTTGGCGCTCCGAATCGTTTCCAACCCGATCTGGTTGGCGGCTCGATTCAGCTCAGGCATGTATCAGTCATAACCGGCCGCCACACACCCCACGAAGTCCCACATGCTTCGAGTGCGCCGTCCTCCTCTTCTCTCCGCGGCCAGCCTCCTCCTCTTCTGCCCACCCGCGCTTGTGTAGCACCCCCGCGCAGGGTTCGACTGCGCTGCGCGTTCGCCAGCGCTGCGACGAGCAGGACTGCACCAAGTCAGCTCGGGTGCCATCTCGTCGCAAACGCTGCCCTTCGGAGCTGCTTCGGCTTCTGCATGGTGGCGCGCCGGTGCCTCCGCCAGCGGCCAGAGGGGCCATGACGGCGGCGTCGTCACGCGGGGCCCCACCTTTGCCGTCGGCCTTCCTCCTGCTGGCGGCGCTCGTCGTCGGCGCAGCGGACGGCGCCACCTCCGGCGAGTACTCGGCGTATCCAGCTGCGCTGCCGCGTTTCTTTCGCTACCGCGCTCTGCGGGGGTGTTCCAAGGGAGAGCCGCACACCAGCGCCGCTGCCCTGCCTCGTTTTTTTGTTGCTCCTCTCCGGGGCCTCCCCGGGGGGGGGGGGGGGGGGCGCGTCGCCGCCGCTGGGTTCGCCTCGGGGTCCTGGGCGGGACCCGCACCAGGAGAGGTCGGGGGGGGATGGTGTTAAGTCGGGCGTGTCCTTCTGCAGGAGGAGTACTCAAGAATAGTAAAAAATGGTCGGGGGACGATTGTTGTACAATGTTTCAGCATGTTTGGATATTTTGTGGAGCATCTGCGGTTTTTCGTCCAAGATCCGCCCGTAGGAGGACATGCCCGACCTAAGAGTAGTGAGCGGTGTTGGTATGTTTTGCTCCCCTGGTGCTGGGGAGCGGAGGGGCGGGGGGGCTGGCAGGGAGGGGGGGGGTCCGCAAAAAGGTCTCCTCCTCCTCCTCCTCCTCCTCCTCCTCCTCTTCCTCCGCGTCGAATGTGGAGGTTTTCGGGCGAGTGCGCCGGTCCTGCCGCAGCCGCCGCTTCTGCTGCAGTCGGGGCGCCGAAAGCAGGACCCCTGTGGGGGCTCAGGAGGGGCTCTCTACGTGTCGGGCCGCTCCTGGAGTCTATGCCTGGGAGCCTCGTCGTGGCCGAGGCTCGCCGTGGCCAGAAAAGCCCCCTCGTTCCTTATCTCGGGAGCGGCAAAGAGGGGGGTGATGACTAGGGGGGGGTGGATATCATGGCGGGGGCCATGATATCTCCCCAGATTTCGCGGCGCCTCTTCTTATTTTATTACGTCCCTGGCCCCCCCGCTGGGCCGCGCACATGCCGCTGGTCATGATTTGCACCCCCCCCTCTTGGACACCCCCCTCTTGGCCGCTCCCGATTATCCAGCGCTCCTCACTGTAACACTTTGTCTGCATCTCTGTTGCCTGAGAAGGCCGAGTGCCTGCGGAGCTGGGGCTCAAAGTGGACTCGCCTCGATGCGGTTGGGGGGGGGGGGGGCGGGCTGCTTCCGGGAACGGACAACTGCACATCACCACCAGTCCTGGCCAGGCCCACCTAAGCCATCCAGCGAGGATCCAGACACCAGCGCGGGGGCCCAAGATGTGCCTGGCATCGGCCAGCGGTGGTGTATTACATTGTTGTCTGCCTCCTCGCACGTGCTGCCCCGCAAGGGGCAGGGCAAAGAATGGGCAAGGGGCCCCGAATAGGGCAAGGCAGATGAAGCAGGGCCCGACGCGCGCCAGCCGCGGCACGGCGCGGTGGCGGATTACGACGAGGAGGCCTCCGTGGAGGTGAGCAGCGCTGGGGAAATCTTGACGGAGGATTTGGCACCGCCCCCGGCTCCCCCAGTGGACGGCGTGTGCCACCCGCAGTCCCAGGATGCCTGCAACAAGGAGGAGCTCGAGGTCGCCGCGCTCGTCTCGCGGCTGGTGGAGGAGGGCAAGGCCCCAGGGGCGGCACAAAGCTGCGCGTTTCCACGTCTGCAGCCGGTCCTCTCAGGGGAAGCTCCGATGCGGGGAGCTGTCCATGAACACCGCCTGGGGCATCGATCGTCGGGGACCTCGGCAGGCGGTGCGCATGGATAGATTTAAGTCGGGCATTGTTTGGCTATGTTTGATCACTTGTTTGACTATGTTTTTGATTCTTCGTCCAAAATCCGCCTGCAGGAGGACATGCCCGACCTAGGGATAGATACGGGCCCTGGGGGAGGCCAATATTTCCATACTCGCCGCCTGCCGATGTCTCCGAAGACCGATTCCCCAGGATGTTTCCGACGGGGCCAGGACGAGGATAAATCTGTCCCTGAGCGTTCCAGAACGCTCTCAGAGGGTTGCGGAACGCGCCGAGAAGGCCGCGGCGCCCGAGACATCCTCCAGAGCCGCGGGATCTCAGAGAATCTCGATTTATCCTCACCCGAATTTATCCTCGTCCTGGCTTCGTCTGAATGGGTTCATGGATGAACCCCCGCCCCGCAGAATCAAGGGAGGAAAAACCACTTGGACCCGATAGTTGGCGTTTACTAAACGGTGCTGGGCGTTTTTATTAATCAGCCCTGCCCTGTTCGATTCCTTCTTTGGGTGCGTTTACGAAACGGCTTCGCGCGTCGTTGTGATTCTGATGAGGGTGGATCTTCATCTCTCTACAGAATCGGCGGCGAGCGAGGGGGGAAGTGAGAAGGCGAAGGCTTTTTCTCAGAAGGCGGTGGGACTTCTCAGAAGCCCCTGCGCCTTCTGAGAAGTTTCTCCTGTCTTGGGGGAAGGCTTGGACAGCCTCTCAGAATGCCACGTGACTTCCGAGCCTTCTGAGAAGGCCCGCCCCTTCTCACTTCCCTCCCTCGCTCGCCGCCGACGGGAAGCCGCGCCGCTCGAGGAAGCGCAGCCGCCGCGTCGGCTCGCCCTCGCTGGCCCGCCGGAGCTGCGGCCGGCGCTCCGCGGCTGCCCCTGCCGCGCCCCTCCCTGCCGCGCCCCCGCAGGCGGCGGCTTCCAAGGGCTCATGGGACGAGGCGCTGGCCACCTTCGAGAGAGCGACCGCTCTCGACGGCACCTCGCCCTTCGCCGCGCCCGCCTACGTGAACATGGCCCTCGTCAAGCGGCGGCTGGGGCTGGACGACCGGGCGCTCGTGCTGCTGCGGCGCGGCGCGGAGTTGGACCCCCGGCTCTTCTACGCCCACTACAACCTGGGCAATCTTTACTCCGACAGGAAGAGTTGGGCGGACGGCGACAGAAGCTTCGCGAGTGCGCTCGAGCTTGCGCTGTCCAGCGGGGAGGCGAACCTGCAGGCCTGGATGGCCGATCAAATTGGGTGTTTTTATGCCAGGGACTGTCTTTGTGCACCCATCTTCTCTCTTCTACTGCTCTCCACTGCCGCCTTGGCTCAATGTGTGAATGAAGTAAGTTGCCATTTGTCCCTGGAAGGACAAGGTCATCCGTCACATCCCGTCCTACGGATCATCGGGGAAAGATGCTCCTTGGCCCCATCTCCCGTCGCAGCGGCGACCAGGCAGTCGGCACCACCGCCATTACCGCCGCCTCCACCACCAGCGCTGCGCTGAACCATTCGCGACTTCGTGGCCTGCAGCGGCTGTGCTTAGCAGGTCGCTTCCTTGGAACGCCAGCAGGTCCCCTCTTGGACGCTTTCTCGGGGCGTGCGAAGGTATCTGCCAGGACGCTTCTTTTAAATCGGGCCTGTCCCTCTGCAGGGGGAATCTTCAAAAATAGTAAATTCGCCGGGCGACAGACCCAACCATATGCAGTTATGAGTACCGCAATTGCGAATATGTTCTTCGGTGGCGTTCCCTGTGGGGCCACGAAGCGCTGTACTGGGTGGGTGAAACGCAGGGAGCAAGGGCCGTGTTGGGTCGTGGCGGACGCATGCGGGCGGTGCCATTGGGGCCTTCTGTGGGGCTCTCTATGGGGCCACGAAGCGCTGTATTGGGTGGGCGAAACGCAGGGAGCAAGTGCTGTGTTGGGTGGTGGCGGACGCATGCGGGCGGTGCCACTGGGACCTTCGGTGGAGCTCACTATGGGGCCAAGAAGCGCTGTACTGGGTGGGTGAAACGCAGGGAGCAAAGACTGTGCTGGGTGGTGGCGGACGCATGCGGGCGGTGACACTCGGACGTTCGGTGGAGCCCCCTATGGGGCCACGAAACGCAATACTGGGTGGGTGAAGCGCAGAGAGCAAGGGCCGTGTTGGGTGGTGGCGGACGCATGCGGGCGGTGCCATTGGGACCTTCGGTGGAGCCACCTTTACGGGGCCACGAAACGGTGTACTGGGTGGGTGAAACGCAGGGAGCAATGGCTGTACTGGGTGGTGGCGGGCGCATGCGGGCGGTGCCACTGGGACCTTCGGTGGAGCTCCCTATGGGGCCACGAGGCCACGAAACGGTGTACTGGGTGGGTGAAACGCAGGGAGCAAGGGCTGTGCTTAATTAGTGGCGGACGCATGCGGGCGGTACCATTGAGACTTTCGGTGAAACTCACTATGGGGCCACGAAACGTTGTACTGGGTGTGTGAAACGCAGGGAGCAAGGACTGTGCTGGGTGGTGGCGGACGCACGCGGGCGGTGCCACTGGGACCTTCGATGGAGTTCCCTATGGGGCCACGAAGCGCTGTACTGGGTGGGTGAAACGCAGGGAGCAAGGACTGTGCTGGGTGGTGGCGGACGCATGCGGGCGGTGCCACAGGGACCTTCGGTGGAGCCCCCTATCGGGCCACGAAACGGTGGGTGAAACGCAGGGAGCACGGGCTGTGCTGGGTGGTGGCGGACGCACGCGGGCGGTCCCAGTGGGGGCTTCGGTGGAGCTCCCTATGGGGCCACGAAACGCTGTGCTGGGTGGGTGAAGCGCATGGAAGAAGGAGGAGGGAAGGGAGGAGGGGGAGGAGGAGGAGAGGAGAAGGGACCGTTTGTTCAAAACGAGGGCCCAACACCACAGGATGGTTGGGAAAAAATAGTCTGGGGACTATGTTTTAGTTTTTTTAGGCATCTTTTGGGTATAATTTGATTTTTTCTAGTTTCCGTTGAAAATCCCCCTGTAGGGGGACAGGCCCGACCCAACGCTTCTTTGGAGCGACCAGAGGTGCCCGCCGTTCAGCGACAGGCCGGGGCGCGGACCGGCACGGGACAGTTGCTGACACCGCCACGTTCTCTGCTTTCACGACCGTCGCAATTTTGAAGTCGTCGTGGAAGGAGAAAGGCATACTATATCCCATGGAAAGAAATAGTCTAACCAGGGTTGACTGGAGGGGGTTGGCCGGGAGGGTTGGCCCGATCTCCGGCGGTTGGCCAGGAAGGTTGGCCGGGTCCGTCGCCGTACGAATTGGCATGTCGTTGTTCAGAAGGGTTGACCGGGATCGGCCGGGGGTTTGGCGACGCCAATTCTTTCGGGGGCAGAAAAGAGGGGGGTGATGACTAGGGGGGGGGGGATATCATGGCGCGGGCCATGATATTTCCCCAGATTTCATGGCGTCTCTTCTTATTTCATTACGTCCCTGGCCCCCCCGTCGGGCCGCGCACATGCCGCCAGTCATTATTCGCACCCCCCCCTCTTTGACGCCCCCCTCTTTGCCGCTCCCGATTCTTAGATATTGAATTCTTTCCAGACTATATAGTAAGCACAAGCTTTGAGATGTTCGGATCTCCGCGCGGATTTCTTCGATCGGCGCTGGGGCCCCCTCTGGCGGCGCCGCGGCTTCGCGCGCCAGGGAGGCGGGCCCACCGCCGATCCAATCCATCCGCGCAGGCCTCTGAGAAATTAGGGCTTGTGGCGTGAGCACAGTAGGACATGGCGATGAGAGGACGTATGCGACCTCAATCCGTCCCTGCACTCCAGGACCCTCCGTCGTGCTTCGTCTCAGCGGGCATTCGCAAGCGTATCGATCGTAAGACAGCCCGCGGCTTGGAAGAGGACACGCAGAATTCGCGGAACGGCCGCCGCGCCCGACATATCCTCCAACCTCGTTCTGGATTTATTGTCGTCCTGGCTTCGGCTTACCCCCTGGGTAGTCCCGGAGCGGCCCCAACACTCTAGAGCCTGTTCAGTTAAGACGTTGGCATAGTGTGAAAATTAGATCGGCAAGGATGTGAGATTTAGGGTGGTAATGAATCATGTTTCCCTCTCGTCCGTGGCTGTTGTGGCTCACATGCTGGGCGGGAGGGTGGACGCACCTACTCACGACTGTTTTGAGTACGGAAATGAATTGATCTTATTTCTTTGATCTTGTGTTTGCATCAATTGCTTGGTGGGAAGGATACAGTGATCAGTACTTTACACTGTTAGCCTGGAGCTAAATCAATTCTACGGTTCCGATATTCATATTGTGAGTGCCCGTGCAGATACATGTTGGCGCTCAAGATTCCTGTAGTGCTTTACCATTGCGCACTTCTTTCAGCGGTCAACAACATCTTCATTTGCAGCCTGGCCGAGAATCGATACCGCGACCTCGACAGCAGCAGTGACAACGACATCTGCTATGAACTGGACGGCAACGAGCTGGACAGCAGCACTACCATCATAGACGGCAACATCATCACCAATGACAAGATGGCGAACAGGCAACAGCATCCCAAGGAAGGACCCCTCTTCGTGGACAAGGAGGGCGTCGTGCACTACAACGGCGACCGAGCCTACGGCGAGGAGCTCGAGGAGCGCACAGCATTCGGCTACTATGCGAGCGAGGGGAAACTGCAGAAGCTCACTAAGTGATCAAGCCCAAGAGTTCTCTGAATGGGCGAGCGTGGAACCTCGCAAGGAAGAGGCCCGAGATTGCGACGCAAGCGGCGCTGGACAAAACAAGTTAGGACCCACCCGGTGCAATAAAATTGGCAGTGGCCACGGTCCGACAAGCCTGCGAACGGATCGCACCACTACAAAAGCAGCAAGCATTCGAGGAGTATTTCTTCACAGGCTTTCGCAGCAGATCTCAGTCAGCGCAAGACTACATATCGAGGCGGGAGACGGAGTACGAGCGGCTCAATTCTCTTTTCGCGAGCACGACGGTGAGCGAAGACCTGCGGATGTACTTATTACTCAAGTTGGCCAGTATCAGCACGATCGAGCATGAGACCATTCTCGGGCAGTGCGACAACTCGTACACCTGGGACAACGCGACGGCGGCGATGCTCATCCAGCTGGACACGACGTGTAGAGACGAATGTGGCCACGGACGTTATGGAGCATACCCGGTGGATTACGGCGATGCCGAGGACGAAGCTTGCCTTGGATACGAGCGTGGCGCGTGCGACGAAGCCGGGCTTCTGAACGATGAAGATTGCGGCGCACTGGCAGCCGACATCGACGAGCTCGAACGGGCGATTGAAGACGTCGACCCCGAGGAGGTCAGCCAGGAGCAGTGCGGCGCTCTGGCGGCTGGGGCACAGCGTCTCGGGTGGAAGGCTGGACGAAAAGGTCGCGAGTCTAACTGCAAGCAAGCCCGGGGGAGGCTTGCACAGAGCAGGTCCTGTCGATGCTGGAAGGCCAACATCAACGAGCAGGGATCCATCAAGCTGAAGAAAAACTCATGGAGATAATGGCTCGCGCGATGCGCATCGCATGCCACACGAAGGGCCACTGGAAAGGCGACCCGGGGCGCGAGAAGACGAGGCCATCGGGCGGCGGATCATCGAGCAGCCTACAGCGTGGAGGGCGAGGTGGCGGCCGAGTCTTTCACGGGCGACCGGGGGGTTTTCTGCGACGGGCTGGGTTTGCGATGGCAGCGGCGGTGGAGCTACTGATGGCGGACAGTTCAATGGACATGACTGCCATCCAGATCGCGAATGACCAGCCGGCGAACATGGAGACCACGATTGAGGAGATCACGAGTCTGACGAAGGTGAGGATCGACGCCGACGAGCAGATCGTGGACGCCTGGGCGGTTTTAACCCTGGGGGGCGATCAAGGTGCGCGAGGGCGGCCTGGAGTGGCGAATCGGATCCACAGCGCACCTGAGGAACATCAAGAACGAGACCCCGAAGGCAGTGACGACCAACCGCCAGGATCTGGATCAGGACAGACATGGCCCAGCAGATCAAGCACCGAATACTATGAAAAAAGATAGCGCAGCGGCAGACCTGCTGAATATCAAAGATCGAGCAGCACAGATCGCAGCGTGATGGGTCAGATGTGAGAACATGGATGCAGCCTACAGGGATTCTATGGATTGGTGCGTGGACTGGGCGCTACACCGCATGCACCGGCTCATGCGCATCACGGAGGAGATGGCACCGCAGGGGCTCAGGAACTTAGCGTGCAATCTGCGCCGGGCATCTTGGGGCAGCACCTC